CCAGTTTCCTTATCTGTAAAATGGGCGTGCCAGCGGCACCCACCTCTCCGGGTAGCCAGCCTCCTGCCTGGGGCTCTATAGTGACAGCTTTGTTGACTGCTCCCATGGGCCCTAGGAGCTCTATTATCGGCCAGGATTTGCAGAAGCAGACTCAGGGATGTCAGTCGCCAGGGATGCAACGGTTGTGACTCATACTTAAACCTAGTAGCTATGTGGCACCCAAGCCCACGCTCTCAGCCACTCTGGTGCCTGCACGGCTGGGTGGCTGGCCCTCACCTGCCCTGCGTCAGGTGTGAGTGCCGGGAGGACCAGGCAGCATCCTGAGTACTGTGGAGGGTCCAGAGCCTGGGGGCGGGCGTGCCAGGGCCCCACGGGATGTTTGAGCACAGGTGTTTGTGGACTGGGTAGCTAGGAGCTTCGTCTTGCTGGGCTGGCCATCTGTGTCTGGGGCAGGTGACCCCGTGTGGGACCACAGACGTTACTGACCACGCACTGTGTGCAGAGCCCCGGGTTGGGGCTCAGAGGCATCTCGTGACTCGTGTTCCGGATTCCAGCCTTGTCCTTACGGGGCGGATAAGCCCTAAGCCTGCTGCAGCCCAGGCTGATGGGGACACTCTCGGCCTCAGGAGGGGAGAACTCCCCCACACCACGCCCTGCTGACCATCTCATTGCCACCCTAGTGGCCTGAATGAAACATGTGATGGGCAGAGCGGAGAATCCTCTCACCCTTGGGGACCCGTAGCATCCCGCAGAACTTTCTACAGGGCCCCACATGTCCTGGTGGAGGGGTCTGAAACCCAGAACCTTCCAAAAGGAGAGGGTCCTTGAGCCAATTTGGAATGAAGAAGCACTGCATAGAAGTGATGACGTTCACCCAGGTGTTTGGGGCTTGGCGGGTCTGCCTCCCCACCCCAGCAGGATCTCTTCTCACTCAGGGGTCCTCTAGCGTCTCCGTTCCACAGCCCAGGAGTCTGAGCCTCCCAGGGGGCCCAGCTGGCAGGTGGCTCTTGCTGGCTTTAGAAGCAATTCCTTCCTCTGTGGGCCAGCCGGCCAGAAGCACACTGGCCACTGCAAAGATGGGCACTGGCCAAGCCCTGTTGATTCCTGAGTGGTCACCCCAGCTGGGCCAAGCAGAAAAGGGCATTGCTCCCAGCAGGGCCTCACACGAGGTCCTGTTCCAGCGTTTATTTGCAGAGCTAAGTTTGTCTGATGATAACAGGATGCTTGTTGCCCGGGACGCACATGACCAGACCGGCTCCTTCTCTACCCCTCAGTTCTTTTGCATATGTACCCAGAAGTGGGATTGCTGGACATATGGTAGTTCTATTTTTAATTTTTTGAGGAATCACCATACTGTTTTTCCTAACAGTTACACTATTTTGCATTCCCCCCAACTGTGCCCAAGGGTTCCAATTCCACATTCTCGCCAGCACTGATTATTTTCTGTGTTTTCTTTTAAATAGGAACCATGCTAATGGGTCTGAAATCATATTTCCTCGTGGTTTTCATTTACATTCCCTAATGTTTAGTGACATTGCCCATCTTTTCATATGCTTGTTGGCCATTCGTATATCATCTTTGTGAAATGTCTATTCATGTTCTTAATTCGTTTCTTAATCAGGTTGTTTTTGTTGAGTTGCAGGAGCTCTTTATATAGTCCAGATAGTAACCCTTTATCGGATACATGATTTGTAAATGTTTTCTCCCATTCTGTAGGTTGCCTTCTCACTGTTGGTTGTGTCCTTTGATGCACAGAAATGTTTACATTTGCTGGAGTCCCATTTAATTATTTTTGCTTTTTGTTGCCTGTGCTTTTGGTATCATATTCGAGAAATCATCACCAAGTCCAGTAGTGTCACGAAGTTTTCCTCTGTGTTTTCTTCTAGGGCTTTTACAGTCAGAGGAATGAGGATTAAAGACCTCATTTAGGTCTTTAATCCAGTTTGGGTTAATGTTTATATATGGTGTAAGATAAGGTTCAGTTTTTCCATCACTGTTTGGTGAAGAGACTGTCCTTTCCCCACGGAACAGTCTTTCATCCCTTGTTAAGGGTCACTGGGCATTTACATGAGGGTTTATTTCTGGGCTGTCTTTTCTGTTCCGTTGATTTGTTTGTCTGATTTTATGCTGTACCATGCTGTTTTGATGTGGTAGCTTTGTAATAACTTCTGAAGTCAGGAAGTGAGTCCTTCAGCCTCGTTCTTTTCCAAGATTGGCTATTTGAGGTCACCCATATGACTGTTAGGGTGAATTTTTCTATTTCTGCAAAAAAATGCCACTGGGATTTTGATAGAGATTGTATTGAATCTGTAGATCGTTTGGGTAGCATTGATATCTTGAGGACACGAGATGTCTTTCCATTTATTTGTGTAATGAAAGAACTTTCATTTCTTTAGGCAATGTTTCATAGTTCTCAGCGTGCAAGTCTTTCACCACCGTAGTTAGGTTTCTTCCTAGGGATTTTATTTTTTTGGATGTGATTGTAAACAGATAGTTTTCTAATTCCCTGTTTAGATGGTCCATTGTTCGGGTATAGAAAGGCAGCCAGTTTTGCATGTTGATTTTATATCCTGCAACCTTGCTGACTTGGTTTGTCGGTTCTGACAGTATCGGGGGAGTCTTTGGGGTCTGAAAAAGGTTTAAACAAAACCTGCTTTAAGGCCCTTCCTGATGGCCTTCCACAATTCTGTGGCCCCGTCCACTGCCCATGGTTCCCAGAGCAGTGTGGGGCTGTTTTGAAGGGGAGTTTGCCTCAGTTTGGGGATTGCTTCCTAAAGTCCATCCAAGCCCATGTTGACCGTCAGATGACTGTGTATCAGGCACCAGCTTCCCATGAACTTGATGCTCACCCCATTTATCAGATGGGGGCACTGAGGCTGGGAGAGGCAGCCCGTGGGTCTGGCTGACCCTGAGCTCACGTTCCAGACGTCCTTATTTTCGGCCCTTCCCTTCAGTACGTGTCCTCTCTCAGAAGAAATGAGACCTCCCCCAACTCCACTGTTTCGGTGGAGAAAAAAACACAAGATGTCTCAAGAACCAATGATGCCGGCAACTTAGAAAGTCACCTAGGAATCCCCAAACCCTTCCCCTCACTTTGCCAGAAAGCAGAGCTCTGTCCATCTGTGCCTGTTTTCCCCCTTCACTCAGGAAGTATTAATTCAGCCCGTCTGTGTGCTGGGGTATGATGGAGACCAGCCAGCTTCCTGGCCTCGCCGGGCTCCTGGGAGCTGGGGAAGGGGCTGGGGGCAGCTCCATCCCACCCGTAAATTCATTCAAGAGCCTGACTTAACTGGGGGGCTGTATGTCCGATAAGACCGGCGATCCTGAGGCCGTGAATGGGTGAGCTTTAAAAATGATTTTTTCCTGTTCAAAATGAGATTGGCTTTGAGCCCTGAGCTCCTCCGTGGGCTGTCTAAAATTAGAAGCCCGTTGACAAGGCAGGGGAGCAGCGAAATGTCAACAGTACATTTTCTGTGTCAATTTTGAGTTTTTTGAGAGGCCCGGACAAATGGCAACTCAGGGCAAATTTGTGCTGTTTCAAAAGCTTCCCGAATCCAGCCCCTCGGTGGCGGTGTGATTGAAGTGTCAGAGTTATAAGGCGCTGGTTCCGTGGTCGGCAGAGTGGCCCCCGCTCTCCTTCTGCTCAGGTATTATCCTGGCAGGAGCTGCACTGGGCAGCCCTCGGGGCTCAGAGCAGTAATGGGATCAGGTCCTCCGTCTCCATGAGCTCTGTGACTTGCTGCACCCTCCCTGTCCCTTTTGTGAGCTGGACAGTCCCACGCTTGGGCCTTGCGCACGGGGACGCTGAGGGTTCAAGTATTTGCCCGAAGGCTGGAGGCGGCCGCCAGGTGCCGGATGTGTAAGTGACGAGCCCCCAAACCAGCCGTGCAGGAAAAGTCAGGCTTCCTAAGACAGACAGAGCCAGGCCCCTGACCCCGCTTATGGACAAGGAAATCGAGGTCAAAGGGAGGCCAAGAGGCTTGCCCGAGTCACTGCGACGATTGAACGGTGGCCTCCAAAAGAGACGTCCACGTCCCCACCCCGGACCTGGGAATGGGGCCTTGGAAATAGGGTCTCTGCAGTTGTGATTAAGGCAGAGGATCTCAGGGTGAGACCGTCCTGGCTCAGGGTGGAGCCCATCCCAACAGAGATGAGGAGACACAGACACAGAGGGGAGCGAGCCGGAGGTCGGGATGACGCAGCCAGGAGCGCCTGGGGCCTCCAGAGGGAGCGTGGCCCTGCCCACACCTTGCTTTTGGGCTTCGGGCCTCAGAACTGGGAGAGAGCACACTTCTGTGGTTTTAAGTCCCCGGGTTTGTAGTCATTGGTTACAGAGGCCCAAGGGCATCCCTACAGTCACTTAGGAGAAGAGCTGTGGCCCGGGAACCGCATGTCCACTTTCTCCCACCCCCAATGACGACACCCCTTCCTTTTAAAGATTTCCAGGGACTTCCCTGGTGGCACAGTGGTTAAGAATCCGCCTGCCAATGCAGGGAACATGGGTTCGAGCCCTGGTCCGGGCAGATCCCACATGCCACGGAACAACTAAGCCCATGGGCCTTAGCTACTGAGACTGTGCTCTAGAGCCTGCAAGCTACAACTACTGAGCCCGCGTGCCACAACTACTGAAGCCCACACACCTAGAGCCTGTGCTCCCCAATAAGAGAAGCCACAGCAATGAGAAGCCCGTGCACCGCAACGAAGAGTAGCCTCCACTCGCCACAACAAGAGAAAGCCCGCGTGCAGCAATGAAGACCCAAGGCAGCCAAAAATCAATCGATCAATCAATAAACTTATTAAACAACAACAAAAAACATTTCCAGAGTGCCCCTGAGGACTCTCCTCGGGACCCCCTATTTCTTGGGGCCAGAGGCCGTGGCCTGGGCCCAGGGCCGGCTAATAATGGTGACGGTAGGAAGTGTCCACCAGTAAGTGGTGGCTGGACCTTGACCTCAGTCGTCTGACCCTGGCCCACGTCTAAGCTGTGACTTGTCCCCCAGGTCCGGGCCATGAGGCTGTCCTTCGTTGGGGAGCTGGGCTGGGAGCTGCACATCCCGAGGTCGTCCTGCCTGCCCGTGTACCAGGCTGTGATGGCAGCAGGGGCCAAGCACGGCCTCGTCAATGCCGGGTACCGGGCCATCGACTCCCTGAGCATCGAGAAAGGTGTGTGCAGGGTTTGGACACCACGGTGGGCTGCCTGAGCCACGTTCACTGGAGGCAGAGAGGCTGTTACCCCCACCTCTGGCCCCATGATCCTTCCAGCCCCACTGTGCTCCCCCTTCCCCCAACCTTTGCTATCTCCCCAAACCCCCTTTGCTGTCCACGAACCGGGTCCTCCATGCAGGCCCGGGGGTGGTGCTGGCATCTCTTGGCACCAGCACTCTTGAGGGGAGGGGTGCTCTCCCAGGCAGGGGTGGGCGGGGGCCAGAGCTGGATTTGGACGTAGTGCCAAGTTTCCCGGAGAGAGCTGGAGGACATCGGAACGGGAAGGGGCCCTCAGTGCTGCCCCTTCACGGCCCCCTCCCCAGGGCCGCCAGCCTGACGGCACAGGTGCCGCAGTGCTGATGGGGGCTCGTCCAGGGGACCTACTATGATCGAGGTTGCCCCCCGCCCCGGGAGGCCCAGGTCACGGAGTTTCTAGGGTGGGCATGTGGGCTGGGGCAGGGGCCCACGTGCGTCTCGCGAAGGGCTTGTGTCTGCCTCTGCTGGCGCTGACCCCGTCGTCTCCCACCCAGGCTACCGGCACTGGCACGCCGACCTGCGGCCCGATGACAGCCCCCTGGAGGCGGGTTTGGCCTTCGCCTGCAAACTCAAGTCCGCCATCCCCTTCCTGGGGCGCGAGGCCCTGGAGAAGCAGCGGGCCAAGGGCCTCTGCCGGCGCCTGGTGGGCTTCACCGTGGACGAGTGAGTACCCCTGGGGCCAGGGCTGCCAGAAGTGACTGCCGCAGACAAGCAGGCCTCGGGGTTCCTCCTCTCGAGCCGCCTGGTGTGACGCTCCCCACAGGCCAGGCACCCTCTCCCAGAACTCCCACCGCAGCCCCGTTACAGGTGAGAAGGCTGGGTCCATGCCGGGCCTGACTCCGAAGCCAGCGCTGCAAACTCAGATCCCGCCAGGGCCGGGCAGGGTGCAAACCAGGCCCGGGGCCAGTGCTGGTCAGCAGGGAGTGAAGAGGGTCGCGCTCGTCAGATTTTATTTTATTTTATTTTGGCCACGCCATGCGCCGGCAGCGTCTTAGTTCCCCAACCAGGGATTGAACCCACGCCCTCGGCAGTGAACGTGCAGAGTCCTGACCACTGGACCGCCAGGGAATTCCCTCAAACACAGATTTTAAAAGTGAAAGGCCCTGCCAACCCCAGCCAGCTCTGTGGGAGGCGCCAGACCAAGGGCCTCGAGCTGGCTGCCCGTCACGGTGCTGCCACGTCCCACTGTGTCCTCATTAGAGCCCCCCCACAGCCCGGGAGGGGGGACCGTGGAGGGAAGGGCCAGGCTGGGGCCACCAGCCCCACTTACAGGTGGAGACCATGGGGGCCAAGGGACAGGGTGGCTCTCGCCCGGGAGAGCCCTGTGGAGGGGCCTGATCCCTTCTCCCCCACCTCCCCCGGGGCAGCTTTTGAGCGTGTCGCCCTTACGTGCTCGGAGCTGAGCCCACATTGTCCCTGGGTCCGGGGTGCTGGCACTGGAAGGCATAGATGGTGTGACACGGAGTCTGAGTAGCAACCGTCTCCAGGGCGGCGGGCGTCTCTGGGCTTCGTCGATTTGGAGCTGCCAGCCAGCCGTCCAGGGTGCCACTTCTCCCAGATTTGGAACCTTCAAAGCAAGTGTTGAGAGTGCCCAGGGGAGGGGGGCGGAGAGAGAGCAGAGCTGGGGGCCGTCACCGTCCTACGGCTTCTCCCTGGGCTCCCATCAGGCCGCCTCTCCGCTTGATTCCTTGTTCGTCTCCTGGGGAGCAGCTCAGCTCTGCTTTGGGGTGCAGGTAGAGCAGGGGTCTGCCGAGGCCTTCTGCCGCCTGGCCCTCCAGGAAGCGCCCACAACTTCAGACGGCACCGGCCACAGCCTGGCTCTCCCCGCTCGGGGGTTCCCTGCCGGGCTGCAGAATTCACCCAGTGCCGTGGCCTGGCCAGTCCCAGGCCTGAGGAGAGACCCGGCCTGGGCGCCGGCTGGGGAGTCACAGAGAGCTCCCGCTGCATTTGCTCTGGGGCCCTGGGCGAGGCAGGTGGCCTCTCTGAGGCTGTTCCCTCCCAGGGACGTGGCGCCCCGGTAGGACTGGGTGAGACCAAAGGAGACAAGAACGTGCTTACAAAGCCTCCTTCCGTCCCACCCTCATCCACTGGACCCGTGGGGCCCAGACCTTTTCCTCCTGGTCTCTGAACCGGGCGGCACCCCGGACCCCGTGCAGGCTCTTTTCCTCAGTGTAGGGTTCACCCAGTTCCAGTTACCGTAACTGGGCCCAGCTGTGCCCCACTCGCCTCCGGGCGTGGTCCTCACACCCGCCCCGGGGACCCACGGGGCCACGTGGTGCTCGCTGCCTCCCCAGGGCCCAGCACAGCCTTCGCCGGCGCGATGCACAGGAGGGGCACGTCTGCCACGATCTGCACCAGACGATCCAGTGTTGGCGTTTCTGTGACTGTAGCTTAATCTTTGTTTTCTATTTTGAATCTTCAAAACTTTTACAGCGAGCGTTGTACCTTACGTGTAACACAGAAAATCACTTTTAATAGACGATGCAGCACGCTGTAGAAAAGGGAGACCCGTCAGAGTAAAACAAGTCGTACGACAGTTTTAAACTGATCAGAAGTCAAATCCTCAAGGTGGGCCTCTTCCAAACCTGTGGGGCCTGTCCCTAGAGACACGGAAGTCAGATCCTGGTTTTGGTGTTTTCTGTTCATTCATTTATTTGCTCGGAGCCTGTGCCGTGGCATCCCCGGGGGCCAGGCGCTGGGCATGGGGGCTCATAGCGGACCAGCCCCGCAGCGTGGAGCCCGTGGTCTGGCAGGCGCGGATCCTCTCTCCTCGACCAGGCAAAGCGCAGGAGTTTCCCCTCCAGGGGCTCTGGGGTCCCAGCCGTCTATTGCTTCTTCCAGGAAAGTGCCCATGTTCGGCCTGGAGGCCATCTGGAGAAACGACCAGGTGGTGGGCCACGTCCGGAGAGCCGACTTTGGGTTCACTATCGACAAGACCCTGGCCTACGGCTACATCCGGGACCCCAGCGGCGGGCCGGTGAGTCCAACTCCCCAGCACTGCCACCGGGAGCCCCAGGTCCTCTCAGGCTCCGCACCAGCACCCCTGCCCACCGCCTCGAGTGTGCCGGGCGTGCGGGGACCAGAGCACAGTGAGGTGACTGACTGATGGGACTGTGTCCCTGGGCAGAGTCGGAGCTCTTTCCATGTTTTCTCTCCAAAAGAATCTGATTTTGGAAGCTCCAAGCTTCTCCTGGTCAGGAAGAGGCTCTGGGCCAGGCTAACGCCCGCTGCTCCCTAGAGCTTGAGACCCCGTGTGCGTGCAGACGGTTGTGTGCACACACGTCCGTGTACACACGCGTATACCCGCATGTGCGCACACGTACTGACACACGTGCACACAGACACGTGCGCGTGCAGGCACATCTGGGAAACTTGGCAATGAGACAGAGGGGCAGCTTGTTCCGGGTGGAGAAAATCTAAACATTTTGCCCAAACAATCATTTGTAAACCCAGATAATCCCCCACCGAGCATGGGTGCCGCCGTCCACGCTGGCAGGGGAGTGAGGGCAGAGCGAGGGCCCTTAGAGGGCCTCCGGGGGTCTGAGCCCTGGGAGGGGTGTGAAGCTCGTGCCGGGCTGGCTGGGTGGTGACGCGAGTGGTGGGCGGAGCTCATTATCATCGGTGGCATCTTGGCCTGCTTGCTTCCCTGGAGTCGCGCACCAGCCCCCTGACGGCGGAGAAAGGGGCCCCAAGAGGCTCTGACGTCGGGGCAGGGATGCCCACCCAGCTGGGCCTTCCGGCCTCCCCTGCCCTGACAGTCTCTGGGCTGCGGCCCCCCCTCCTCCCCCCACTGAGACTCCAGGTTGGGGGAGGCACCTGGAAGCAGCAGCATGGAGCGGGCAGGAGGAGTGAGTCAGACCAGCCCTGGCAGAGGCGCAGGGGCGGGCCAGGCCCGATGGCAGGCCCAAGGGGGAAGGGGCCGGGCTGCGGTACTGTCTGAGGAGGCTGCATCCGCAGTGGGCTGGGAGGCTCAGGACACAGGCTCGGCCTCAGTAGCTTTGGCGCTCTGCCCTGGACTGGCCTGGCGACCTTGGACAAGGGCGTCTCTCTGAGCCTCGGTTTCCTCATCTGTAAAATGGGGACAGATTATTCCCACCTGCCTCACAGGGCTGTCTACAGATCTCTGCTCTAAGTGGAGCCTTAATGAGCTCCACTTATTGCCATGGGGTTGCCATGGCTAGTGATGACGTTTTGCGGTGACAAAGGACCCTCTGACACCCCAGACATGGAGCCCTGGGTCCCAGCCGAAGCCCCGTGTCCATTTGCCCCATGCAAGGGTAGAGGTGGGTGCAGGCCTAGTCACCTCTTCTTTCAAAGAACAATAATTCTTGCTTTTTCTGCTTGGTCAGGTTGGGTTTCTAATTAACGTGACCGAGGAAGGAACGCTTATCCCTACCCAGACAGGGGGCCCAGGATACCCGGGTTTGACCAGTGCAGGGCCAGGGCCGGCTCAGGCTGGCTTGTAAGAGCCGACTGTGTCCACCTCTTCCCAACCCCGCCATCAGGGATGTCCAGTGTGTTTATACCATGGAAATGAGCAAACGCCACAATCAGGCCTCCCCGATCCCCCAACCCCTTCCCCTCCCTCGAGAGCTGGTTGTTAAACATTTACCAGCACAGCAGCGGGATAACCAAGACTCCTTTGTAAAATAGGAAAACTGCCCTTGAAAGGAAAGGCTCTGGACCTGGGGGCAGAATTGGTGACCTCCGGGGTGTTTATTAGCAAGGACTATGCCCCAGCTCTGGGCAAGCCCGTCCTTCAGACGTCTGAAGGCACCAGTGGTCTCTGCCACCTGCCTCTGGGCCCAGTGGGGACAGCGTGGAGCTTTGAGCCCAGCCAGTGCCCACCACGGCTCAGAAGCCTGGTCTAGAAGCCGCTTCATTCCAACACCGCAGTCACGTAAAAAGCCTCGTCTCTTTGGGGTATTTCTTCCATCCAACCCTGAGCGGCCGAGAGATGTCATTTAACAGCCCGAGCAGAGCCCCTCCATGAGACCTGGCCCTGGGTGTATTCTCTGCACCAGGAGAATAGGATCCTGCGCCGGGCCAGCCCACTCTGCCTCTGCCCGCCACTGCCCTGCGTGTCCAGGCCGTGCTCCGGTTCCCAGGAACCTGCAGTTCCAGGGCGGAGGGGTGCTGCCCCGCGGGAGAGATCTCACTGACTGCCAGACCTCGGCTCTGCTGGGCCCCAGGTGCTCAAGTCCAACTCGGGGGCACGGGGACCCGGAATCTACCTGCTCAGGGCAGTTCCTCGGCTCAGGGAGGACCCTCAGCACAGCGACGGGTTTGCCCGCAGGAGGGGCGTGAGGCCGAGACAGCTGGCCCCGTCCCAAGAGGCAGGTAGCGTGAGCCCAGCACCCACTGGGTAACGAGTGACCAAGATCCCTCCTCTTCTGCTACTAGGTCTCGCTGGACTTTGTGAAGAGTGGAGAGTACGCCCTGGAGAGGATGGGGGTGACCTACCCGGCCCAGGCTCACCTCAAGTCTCCCTTCGATCCCGACAACAAGAGGATGAAAGGGATCTACTGAGGGGCGGGGAGCGGGGCCTCAGCCAATCCGGAGGCCGGAGGACCCTGGCCAGAACTTGGGCTCCCCCTGCCCTCAGTCGAGGCCTGCGAACCATCCCCCCCCAAACAGATGCAAACTGAGAGGGTGGAAAGAGGACCCAGAAGGCCCGTGCTGTGGTCACTGACCAAAGGGTGGTCTCGAGTCCACCCACACCCTAAAAAAGCCACCCATACCCCTTAGGCTCAGGGACCACGCCTGTAGCCCTTGAGAGCTTCTGAGAAGCGCTTAGGAAGCACTCGATAAGGCCCGTGTCAAAGCAGGGAGGCAGGGAGCTTTACCCTGGGTTCCTAGCCTTGACTGGAAGGCTGCCCAGAGCAGCCTCGGAGAGGTGTAAGGTGTGTCTGGAACTGGCGATTGATTAGTACTGTCTGCCTCAGGCGCAGTAGGGAAGGCAGAGAGCGTGCGTGCCAGACTGGCCCGGTCCCTGAGGTCAAGGTTAGCAGAATGGTCTGGTTCCCAGATCCCAGGAAGGGTGGGGGGTGGATCAGACAGCAAGCGCTTCCTGCCTTGAGCCTCCTGAGAGTTCCCAGCCCTGAAGGCGGTGCCAGAAGCAGGGGTGGGAGGGGTCTCAGATCAGCACCCGCCCTCCCCTGTGCAGAAGCTCCCTCTCCTGGCTTGGTTTCCCCGAGAGCCCCTCGCTCTCTAGGTCTGGAGAGGAAGGCATGCTGCTGGGTGAGAACCTGGCAGACTCCTCCTGCCTGGGTGGGTGCCTCCTGTCCTTACTCTTTGATTAGGACTGAGCTCTGGTCCTGGTCTCCCACTCTTCCGGCCCCCTGGGGATGGGCCCCGCACAGGCCCTTGAAAGGGGGTGAGTCCCCTGCTCCCTTCGTGGGGCTTCCAGACCTGTCCTCTGTGCCTCAGGAGGAGCCCTGCCTCCCTGCCGGGATGGGGGCCAGCCCAGGGCCCAGGCAGCTGCCACAAAGTGGCACCACGCGGCTGTGCCCCAGCGAGCCCGGCCCCGTGGGGAGCAGGCGTGGCAGGTGCTCGGGGACAGGAGAGACACGGCTCCCGCAGACACAGGCGGGAAGCCACGCGGTGCCGGAGGTGCAGGCAGTCCCCGGAGGGCCCAGGCTGCCTTCAGAGGCGCACACACCACTCAGCCCCACTGCAGACGGGGCCGGAACAGGTCAGGCTAATAAAGCCAAGGCCATGGGAAGACGTTTGGGTTTCGGGTGACCTTTGTAGAGAGAATCTGGCCCCCTCGCCAGACCGCATGCTGGGGGGCGGGGACCTCTGTCTTTCCCAAGCCTCAGGCAAAGGAACGCCTGCAGCCCCCCCAACCCTGCTCACAGACGGGCCTGGGGAACCCCGAGTGGACCCCGTAGGGCCAGCGGAGGAGAGGAGGGTAGCTGGCTTCCCAGATGGCCTGGGCTGCTTCCCCGGGCCCTGTGGTTTGGCCATGGACCTCTGTTCGGGGCCTGTGCACGTGTTCATTCCACAGCTGTCCTTGGGGGGAGGCCTTGGACGAGGGAGGTCAGGCCCAGGTTGCAGCCCGACTCCTTCCCCAGGGGTTGAACCCAGAAACAAATGTTCGCTCTCGCCCTCCCTGTTTGTGTTTGTTCCTCTGCTGGGGAGAACTAGCTCTGGCCCCTCTGCAAAGGGCACTGGGTCACCGACACGAGAGAGGCTGTCATGGGCCGCCCCCCAGCTCACCTGCTTGATCCCGCAGCTCGGGAAGGTCTAGGCCACGGCCTGGCCCTCAGCAGGCTGCCCGGTCGCTTAGGGCTAGAACACATCACCCTCCCCTCGGAGCCAGTGACCTCAGCCCGTCCTTCCTAATCCCATTCCGGACACACCCTGTTGCGTCTATTTTGGAAGGCTTTTCTGGACAGAATGAGCACTGTGGCCCTCACCGTGGCTCTGAGTACTGAGCTTGGCTGGACACAGGGGAAGGGTGCCCCCCCCAAGCCCCCGCGCCCTCAGACTCAACCTGCGTGCGGCTCCAGCTGTGCCGGGAGCTCTGAGCCTCCTGCAGGGGCCCGGGACGGTGAAGGCCCCGACTCTCTCACTAGCTCCTGTCTGTCAGCCTGGCAGGTTGTTAGGGACCACAGGGGCCCCAGACCCCTGCACCCAGCAAGGGCATTTGCATCGGAGCCACTGGCACCCCGCCTCTGGTCTTTGCGTGGCTGGCGGGAACGAGGTGCCCCTGTCCTCAGTGAGGACCAAGGGCCCTGGCAGTGGAATCCCCGGGCAACTCGCAGCCCGCTCGACTCCCAGACACCTCATATACACGGAGCTGGCGTGGGGCCCACCTCCCTCCAGAAGAGCTGGTAAGAGGGGCAACAAAAGCATTCGGCAAAGGAGAGGCGCTGGGGATACATTTGAGTGATTGTGGACGACGAGCCCGTCACGTGCTAAGGTCCTGGGGTGAGCCTGACCTGCCACGTGGCCTGGGCCGTGTTTACCCATCCGGGCTTCAGCCACCCCATCTGCAAGGGGGCGGTGGGGGCACAGCCCCTGGGCTCCCTCGCCCTGCCTCCGCTTGAGGACACCCTAGTGGAGCTTCTGCCTGCCGCGGACCCTCCCTGCCCGACAGAAGCACCATCTGGCCTGGAAGGGCCGAGCGCTCAACTCATCCCCACCCCGTGGAACAAAGCACTTCCCTTGGGCGGCCAGAACCACCTGCCCAGGTCACTGCTGGAGAGGAAGGTACTGAGCCATCTGGCTCGGGGTCGCGCAGAGTGAGCTTGAAGAGGGTCCACCAGGCGGAATCCCTGGGACCCTGGCGAGACCCTCACTCCTCCCAGGGTCCTTGCCCCACTACACGAGCGGGAGACAGTGGGGCATGCAGTGGGCCGTGGGGAGGCGTGGACGCTGTGGCCGGGAGGGGCCTCGCCGAGCATGGCCACGGGGCTGGGTGCAGTCGCCAGGGGTGCCAGGCGGCCTTTCAGGGGGCCTGCCGATTTTCCTCACCTGACAGCCACTCCAGGGGCTCAGGGGCCCGTGGCAGTGCTGGAAGGCCTCAGACCACCCCCAGCATGAGCTGGTTCTGGTTCTGCCTTTGTTCCCTCTCAGCTTTATTCTTCGGTCTCCCCAGTTTAAAGGCTCATCGCCCAAGGCCCCCGCTGCAAACACGCTAACCCCCGAAACGCTGCACCTAGGGGTCTGTGGGCCAGGCCGGGCCTGGGGGTGACTGTCCCTCGGCCGCCCACACGGGGCTCCGCCTGGGCCGCCCCTCCCCTCTCCCGTGAGGTCTCCAGGCATCTCCTAGGAACTGCCTCCGTGGACCCTAAATAACTGTCTCCTCTCGCCTCCCCCCTCCTGCCCCCCCCACCCCTCCTCTCACCTCCAGAGGAGGAAGGGGCAGGATGGAAGCCCAGGGCAAAGCTTTGGTTTCTGACCGGGGAGGGGACAGAGGGCGAGGGTCCCCACACAGAGGCAAAGGAAGGCCTCCTGGGCCATGATGTCAGCACAGGGGGAGGGCTTCCTGGGGTCTAGTCTAGAATCTCCCACTGAAGGCTCCCCAAGTCCTTATTAGGAACCTGCCACAAACACAGAAGTTTCTGGCCTGGGATTCGTGGGACACAGTGGGCTGCCTTCCACCCAAGAACCTCTTGAAAATGCAGGGAAATGTGGAGTGTATGCTTGAGGGTGGGTGAGGGTGGGGGCGCTGGACAGACGGGAGAAAATAGAGCCGTGCATGCCCCCGGGAGACCCTGCGTGGTTTCCAGGGCATTTTGGAAGGGTCGGAGGGGGACGAAACGGGGGTTCTTTGCAATAACGAGAAGCTTTGTTTTTCGCTGCAATGGAGCAGAGGACAGTAGGAGCCCCCAGGAGCCCCGGGGCTCTGTTTCTCCATCTGCACCACAGAATGGGTGGCTGGGGGCCAGGGACGGTTGGGGGAATCGAAGCATCCCCACTGGGCTTTTGGAGGCCTGTCAGTGGTCATAATGCAGGAAGCTGCTAATGCTTTGCACTGGGGCTAAGGGGCTGGACCTTCCGAAGCAGGAGGGACCACCCTTAGCCTGGGAGACTGGTCCTGCCCCAAATGCCTCCGTGGACAATTCCTGCACCCCTGCGGTGGTCCAGCTGCTCTGTCCGGAGCCGGGCCCGTCAAGAGGGTTGCTGGGATGTGAGGATGCACGTGGCTCCCAGCCCAGGCAGCTCAGCTAAGCTGGTGCTGTCTGGGACCCGGCCGTGGTGCAGCGCAGCCCGGTGGAGCTTTCCACGTTGATGGAAATGCTCTATACCTGGGCTGCGCCTACAGTAGCCATGGCCACACGTGGCTATCGAGTGTTTGAAGTGTGGCCGGTGTGACTGAGAACCCAAATGTTTTATATCATTTTAATTCATTTAAAATTAAGCTTAAACAGCCACGTGAGCTTAATGGCCACCGGGCGATATAGCCCTGGAGCCTCCCGGGACCGGCTCAGGCAGGCACACCTGCTCCCGTGGGAGCCTGCAGCCTGGGGACGGCCCCCACCACCCAGCCCCAGGCCTTCTCAACACTGAGCATGCATGGGCGCACCTCAGCCCGGGACTCTGGGCATGTCACCCGAGCAGCTCTTGCCCCCAGGAGGCTGGGGAACCTTCTCCATGGGCAGATGGGAAGATGGAGGCCCAGAGAAGGAAAGTAAATTGGCCAGGGCCACACAGCAGAGGGAGGGTTGGGAACCCAGGCTGCGGGACCCTCACCGCCCTCTTTCCACCGCCCCAGTCCTTCAGAAGATGGGGGATCCTGGACAGTGCTCAAAGGGACCTGGCCAAGGTAGTGCCTCGCCCTGACCGGCTATTTTCAGGTAGTGAACACTTGCCCCAGCTGTCATTGCTTAGTCCCCACGAGGCCCCGGGACAGTGCCTGGGTCCTAAGCAAGGAAATGGAGGTTGCAAGCCCAGGCTTTGCGGTCACACAGGCCCGGGGTCACTTCCTGGCCCTGTGCTCACTCTGGGTGACCTCAGCACCTAGCTTTAGATCTCTGAGTTTCCCCATCTGTCCGTGGGAGCAGAAACAGTCCGTCGTGGGTTCGTGGGAGGGTTAGCACAGAACCAGGTATGTACTCTTATCAGTGACACGGGTGCGATAATCTGGGCGGGATAGGGGGAGAAGCGCAGGCTGCCTACGAGGAAAAGAGTGACCAGCCTGCGAGCGACAGTGAGTGAAGGGGAGACGGTGTCGGTGTGGGTGGCGGAAGGTTCTGGAACTGGGTGTGATTCCTGATCTCCACTAATCCCCCAGGGGCCCCGGGTGAGGAGGGGCTTCTCCTCTGTGAACCTCAGCTCCCTCCTTGGTGAGGCTGGGGTGCCACAAGTGTGGAACAAAGCAATGGCGGCCAGGAGGGGCTTGGTGGGTGTGAGGCCCGGGGGTCAACCTCGAACCCTCTGCCACAGCTCTGGGCTGACTGGGACCCCTGTCTGGGCTGCCAGGTGGGCATGATCCGAGGGAAGGGGTCTTTTTGGGCCAGAAGACCAGGGCCGGAGGCTGGGCGAGCTCCAGCTGCCCTCCCAAGGGCTGCGCCCTGAGGGGAGGGGCCTCTCTCCCCGCTGTCGTCCCGGGCTCTAAAGATGACAGAGGGCTGGCCGCCCTGCAGCCTCTGTCAGGCCTGGCGTTTCACAGCCATCACGGCCTGTGACTTACGGCGCAGGAAGCCATGATTTATGTGATGCAGTGCAGGGCGCCTGGGCCCGTTCGTCCCGTCTGTAATGAAGTGTCTGGCAGGAGGAGAGGCAGCGCTTAGCGGACGGCTGTTGGGGTGTAAGGCGGGGCTGGGGGGGACTTGGAGGCCATCCATCACCCTCTCTCTCCCCTAGAGGCTGTACAGAATTTTGCTGAACTGGCTGGACAGAGTTGAATCTGTCACTCCTGGCAGAAACCACCCAAGAGCTGAACTTGGCCTTCAACAGAGGCAGCGAAGAAAGAGGGAGGAACGTGAAGACTGACCCAGGAAGCGTGAGGCGTGTTCTGCTCCGCCCGGGACAGGGTGCCTGGCCAGGCAGCACCACCCTGTACTAGCCGTCGCTGGGTGCCGCCCTGTGCACGAGTTTTATTGTCTCAGTAACCCGCACGGCGCTGGCCCCGTTTTACAGATGAGGAGACTAAGGGTCAGGGAGGTGGGGCTGGACTTCTCACGCCGGTCTGATTCCAGGGCCCGCTTGCTCCATCAGCTGCCTGTCCCACCGCAGAGAGAAGCGACCCGGGCTATTAATTCCGCTTCCCAAGGAGCCGGCGCCCAGATCCTTGTCTGGATCTCTGCTGTCGCATCTTTCGGTGGTGGTGAGAGGTGCTGTTAGGCTTTCCCTTTAGGTGGGCGAAAATATCTGTTTACCCTGCAATGGAGCAGTTTCCCCAGGCAAGTCTCTAACTAGCTAAATGGCTTGTCCTGTCTCTGTCAGCTGGGAAGACGCCCACTG